GGGTAATTATGTCAGACCAAATAAAAAGAGCTACAAGGCAGATTCGCCGAAAAGAGCAAAATTTGCATCAGGATTTAATCCGGAAGCAACAGAGGCGATATGATGCAGAAGCTATACGTGACAATGAAATTATCTGAAGGCAAAATGCTGAGGGGGTGGAACAGATGGCTATTGCTGACTTCATCAGTTACGAACTAATGGTCGAAACCAAGTTAACAGAATGTTAGATAGGATAGCAAGAAAGCAAACCCATATAGGTGTGCTGGTACAAGAAAGATTTGCCTTACAATTATTGTATTAGCGAAATGCTCATCACCTATAGAGAAGTAGAGGAGATATAGGTCTGTTAGAATATAATCGTGATAGGTTCTATGAGCGATATGAGAAATGGAAAAATAAGACTCAAGCAGAACGCCAGAATAATTTAAATTTGCAGGCACAAATTTTGGCGCTACAGAATAATCTACCAAATCTAATAAACATGGCTTTACCTGCAGGATTTGTAATGCCTGAATTAAGCAGTTTTGAACAGGATCATGAAAAGTATAGAGATGATTTTATAGCGTATATCCATTTAGCAGGTCTAAATGATGAAGCAAGAATTCGCAATATACTGGACCGATCAGTAAAGGGAGAAGTGCGAGAATGGTATCGTAGAGAGTTTGATAACAAAAACTGGGAATTACAGAATGTGTTAGATAATTCTGCCATAAGCGCTAATATTGGGGCTATTCGTGGTGCTAATGCAGGAGCTATAATAGGAGCGGTTAACTCTTTTCCAAATGTTCCACTAGGTCTAGCAGGTGCAGACATTATTCCAGCTCGAGGACTTGATGAAGATTGGACAATAGCTGGAGGATGACCAACTAATGCAGGACCAGTTGCAGTAAATGCTGGAGGTGGCGTTCCAGTCATTCTTGCAGGAATCCGGTCTGGGCAAAGGTTGGATCATATTAAAAACCATTTTCCATCTGCCGATAGATATTTGAGAATGCTTGAAATTGGAACATTAAAACAAGGAACACATGAAAGTGTAACATCTTTCTGGGCAAAAATTCAAAAGTATGGAGATCAATTAGGTTATACTCCTGCGCAAAAGAAAACATATTTTATATCTGGAGTAAGACATGATATATTAAATGACATCATTACGATTGGTCGTCACAAACCGATTAATGATATTCTTGATAATTTGGAAGAAATGGAATTACGTCGTGGGATATTAGGGCCACCACCATCATATCTTAGTAATACGCCAACCCCTTCTGCTATTTCCAATAACGTATCTCAACAGCAAGGAATTTCCTTGGCAGATATACAAAAAATATTTCAAGATGTACAGGCACAGCAAAAAACTGAAAACCAGGCATTAGTAAAGAAAATTACTGAATTAGGATCTCAAATGACTCAACAACAAGTACAAGTATCTATCCCGCAAACTGTTGAACCAGTTAGACAGCCGAAAAGTCCACCATCTTCATTGAAAATAGAAGAAGGTCTTAAGAATTATTATGTAGCCGAATACTTAAAAGAAGTAGGCCTACTTAATAAGGAAGATTTAGACTCTGATTATCCTGTAAAAAATTTTCAAAGACCTCGTCCACAGCGAAATAATAATTCTGCTAGATTTGATAGGATTGAAGAAGGACTTGATGAAACTCGTGATGCAGTAAATCAATTAACAAACCAATTTCAGAAACTAAATATACGTAAATGTGATATTTGTGGAGAAACTGGTCATAGTAAAGGCAGTTGCCCCAAAAGGCAGATAGCACGATCTAATTTTAATCGGTCTTATTTTAAACCTCTTACGCCAATAGTTCCTCCCGATTCAGATGGTGAGGAAAATGATGGGGATGGTTATGACAAAGTAGATAATGATTGGTATTATGCACCGGAAAAAAAAACAGGTATCAGTAAATAAAAGCTTACATGGTGACTCTGCTATCTCTTCTTCGATCTAGTAACTAGCCAGCCTGAAACATACGATCAGCTATTGCCAAAGCTTTCACCAGTCATACGCAAAATGTGTCTATCTCGGAAGGCTCAGGAGGAGAAGTCAAAAAAAGATGAGTGGTTTTCGTCTTTACAATACTTGAATGCTTGTATAAATGATTTACCAATCTCTGAATCTTTTTTAGATAACGCAAGCGAGTTCGATGGTATGAACCTAGCAACTTCTGATGCACTTGGGTGGAAAGTTGATGAGTCTTCCAAGTTCGCTGTAAAAGGCAATTCTGAACACACCTCTGAAGCACTAGGGTGGCATAGGAATGTGGCCGTCACTCTAAATGATGAGAAAGGTAAACCAATCATCACTATTATTGAAAATTACGCTGTTGTTGATAACGGTGACCCCAAACCAATGCTATGGTTAGGTACGACAGGAATTCGAAAAGTTGAAGGTGTTTGTGATCCAACTAAAAATCAATTCCGCATAAAGGATCACGGAAAGACATATATTATTCCAACATTCAGCAAGACTCCAGAAGTTAAGGATCCGCCAAAAGAGGAGCAGGAATCATCATGCGAAATGTCACTCAGCTCACAGGTTTCAGCTAATTCTTCTCATCCGACTAGTGAGGAAGACTTAAAAAAAATGCAAAGAGCTTGAAAAGCGCCTCATAAAGACTGAAGAAATGCTCTATTCAACCTTAAGTACTGGTAAATTTCTTGCTGATATATGTGAATCCTTATATAAGGGGAGTGGTATTAGTTGTTAAACTCTTAAGCTTAAGCTTTTCACCACGATTAACTAGATTTTTAAAAAGAGATTCCACCCTGTCTTCTTGGGATGTATCAGAAGAATTATCAGAGGAAGAGACCATGTCATTTTTGTTATTTTTTTCCACCATACTAGTTGCCTCAGTAACCGGCTTCTTATCTATTTTAACCTTCTTTTTTCGACTATTCTTTTTTGGAATCTCTGTAGCCGGGAGGGATACTACTTCAAGAGTCCGTTCTGTCTTATCAGTTTGGGAATTTTTATCCAAAGTAGGCTGAGATGAAATGACCGATTCCTCTGGGACCACCCCTTGCTGGAGGCGTTCTTTATTATCCCATATTTCATAGACACGCTTAGGTCTGATATGAAATTTATCAGCCATTTTTTTTTATGCATAGGGTATCCTGCCTCTAGATTCTCTAATTTCCTTGATATCAGCTTCTGATAACAGGATTGCCTTAGCATCGTAAAATGTATCATGAAGACGAGCGACCATCTTTACTAGATTTTATATATCAGAAAAAAAAAATGTTTTTCAATAAATATCGATGCGTATCAATGTATATGTATCAATACTTTTCAATATGCATCGATACTTTTCAATATATATCAATATTTTTCAGTGCACATCAATATATATCAATATATTTCAATGCCCACCAATATGTATCAATAGACATTAATATAATGTTTTTTTCGTCTAAATATCTCATTTCCAAGGTCAGAAAAAACTTCAGCCAGGACGTTCACCTGGCCAAAAACTCATGATTTTTTTCATCCAAGGTAAAAAAAAATACCAATAAAATGCTCCAGATCCGTACCTTAAAAGATCTGGATAGTGGTAATAAACTTGGAGATACTCCAGCAAATCAATTCCCTCCTAGCCGAACAGAGCTTAAAGAACAACTTTCTTGTGCAAAAAAAGATCGTGAAGTAGCTATTTATTGGGGAAGCCAGTTTGCGGATAACTATGATGTCTTAGATAGAGAATACAAGCGTATGCAGGATGACTTGGATAAATTCAAAAAAGAAAAGGAAAAACTTTCTGATCGGATGCATCAACTTGGAGAAGAGATAAGACAATTGCATTCAGAGAAAAATGAGCTTATACTTCAGATTACTCATAAGGATATTTCTCTTGCAGATGCTGAAAACAAAATCTCTATAAAATCGGAAGAGATGCAAGCCCTCCAATCTAAGATGAAGGAAGAGATACAGGTTTACCAAATTAGGGCTGAGGAATTAGAGCAGGATCTTTCTTTAGCACAGGAGGAGCTGTCAGAAATGGAATCTCTCCAATCTAGAGCTGAGAATTTAGAGCAGGATGTTTCTCTAGCACGGGAAGAGTTATCAGAAATGCAATCTCTTAGGCGTAAATTGGAACTGAGAAATGCAGAACTATTTACTAAAAATATTGACCTAGATTTGGAGAAAAGAGATTTAGAAGACACACTAATCAAAAAAAAAGATGAATTGGTACAGATGAATGATAATTTAGCCACAGCGCAAAAGGCAATGATAGAGAAAGACACCCTCCTTTAAGAAGCGGTCCTAAATAATACTCGTTTAGCCAAGCAGATCCCAAAAACATCCAGCGAGTCTAAAGTGCTTGGAGGTGTTAGTGGACTGGAGAAAGGTATCGAAATCACTAGCCCTAAAACAACCTCAGATTCACCTTATTACTTATTTTTTCAGTATGCAATCATCTTCGTAATAGTATTACTAATCATATGCATTTTATGGTGCGTATTCTCTCATAGAAATTCTTCTTACAATGAAGAAAAAAATATTCCAAACTATAAAATACCCTTAAATAAAAATCAGAGTTATGGTTTCCCAATCCAATACAGAGAAGAACCAAAAGACAGGACTACCTCCTATGAAACTTCGTCTTTTGGATATGGATGAAGTCACAAAGCATGAATCATCCCGAAATATTGGCCATCCGGCGATGACATGGCCTTTCAGCATGTTAGTCACTGGGAGAAGTGGTTCAGGTAAGACTAATTTACTTGCGAACCTTGTTCTTGGTGATAAGGATGAATATGTGAAAAAGGAAAAGAAAGGTGGATCTAGATATATCTGCTGTGATGACCTGATTATATGTGGTTATCATCCTGATGAATCAAAATGGGCATATGTGAGATATATATATAATATGATTTCAAGAGACCCGAGAGCGCCTTTCTATGAGAATATTAGTTTCAAGTATATTCTACCCGAAAAAATTCCTAGTACAAGAGCATTCTCACCTGAAAGAAGCACAGTAATTATTTTCGAGGATCTGTGCTTAGCCCCTGAACATATACAGAATCAAATTGACCAATTTTTTGGGAATGGACAACATCAGAATATTTTATGCATATTCGTAACGCAGAAATATCATAAAATCAGTACATTTAAATGTGAAAATGCCTCTCAGTTAGTAGTTTTTAACTCTGGTAGCTCGCATGAAGATATTTCCAAGATCATTAGACGCTATACTGATGATGTAAGAAATGCATCTATGGTCATTAATAGCTACCTTCGAAAAGGTGAGTTTGTTGTATTTGATCTCACTAGGCCAGAAGATGATTCTCTTGCAATCTGCCTAAGGTTTGACACTCCACTGAACTTACAAAAGGAGATAGAGGCTAGGCAGAAGTGCAAGGAAAAAAGTGCCTCAGCTAATGAGTAGAATCTGACTTTATAGATGCTAGCTTTTTTTTTCGTAATTATAAAAAATTAGGATGGGGGAACCGGTTATTTATATCGATCCTCAGAAAGCTCGAGACTTAGATCGGGATCTTACTTTACAGAAACTTTATTACAGAGCTGAGGGATATTATCGGACTGCTGAAAAGATGCAAACCACTTGTAAGAAAGCCGGATATGGGTTTACTTTGGCCATTATAAAGAATTGGCTTAACAAACAGGCTTTGCATCAGATTCATAAGCCTCAGCCTCAGTATATTCCGCAAGCATCTTTTAATAATATTACCGTACCTATGGAAGTTGTTCAAGCTGATTTATGCTATATGCCTTATGATCGAATTGGAAATAAAACTTATAAATTTGCACTTAATTGTGTAGATATTGCTACCTGTACTAAATGGACCTATCCTTTAACTAAACGTGATTCTGCTAGTGTGGCTAAAGGATTTGTGAAACTTTTTAACTCCCGAATATGCCCAATTATCTGGTCTAAAGTTAAAGTTTTAATGGTAGATGGGGGCGTAGAATTCCAAGGTAATGTTATCATATTAATGAACGAACATGGTATTTACATTCATCTAGCTAATTCTAAAGAATCTATGGGTATTGTTGAAAGATTTAATCATACACTTCAAGAATGGGCATTCTTTATTCAAGATAGTGTTGAAATGAGATTACCTCCCACTGAACGCTGTCGTGCTTGGGTGAAAAACCTTCCAATTTTTCTTGTAGAGCTTGACAATTCTATAACTCGACTTCTGGGTATTTCCCCTGCTGAAGCTCGAAAAAAAGAACATGTCTTTGCTAAAGCTTTCAAATCACGAAAAGGACCTATTGGGTTTGATGAGCCTAGATTATCCCATGATGTCTTAGTAAGATATTTGCTTAATCTGGGTGAATTAGAAGGTGGAAGAAGACGTGCAACTGATTGCAATTGGTCCCCTCAAATTTATCATATCCGCGAATCTCTAGTGCAAAAAAAACAGCCGGTCTTGTACTGGCTAATAGATAATGATGACAATGGTCTGAAAAGATCTTTTGTAAGAGAAAAGCTTCAAATTGTTCCTCCTAATACTGAATTGCCACCCCGATGGGTGCTTACGAATTAGATTTCCAATTCATGAAGTTTAAGCATTTCGTTTACTTCTTCTATAGATCTTTTTTGTACAACCTCTTCCTGGCTCGCAAATAAGAGATATAATTTGTATAACTTTTCAACACTCTGATACACTTCTTCATTATACCAGTCTTTGAAATCCGCCATTCTTTCATTATAGGCTTCCTCATTTGGAACTCGTTGCTTTGCTACATATCTGCAATGATCATCTGCGTCCCTTTTACATCGCATTGTTTTTAAATAACCTATATATGTCAATCCCATTTTATCATATTTTTTCGTGTCTTGGCTATATGCTACTTTGATTACCTCAACTAATGCTGATTCAATGTCTTTATAGTTAATCATCTTGTGCAAGTATTGAATGTTTGTATTAATATAACAAAAACTTTTGTTTAAAATAAAATATTTATTTCTTATTACTATGATAGGCGAATATTATTGCAATTATTTACTCATGACTGGATACATCTGTGGGCAAACTTGTCATCGGCCTGAAGGGTGTTTTGAGCATTGGAAAGCTAAACCCCGCATTCCCTGTAATATAGGGCATATTGGGGGTTCTGGGACAGCTCTCAAATCCGTCTATATACCCAGTTTGCTATATGATTTCCAATATCAAATT